TAGAAAACCAATTAGATCGTTTCTCCCAACGAACCAGAACACTACGTACCCGACATACTCGAACGACGATATAGTGCCAAGCCGGCCATTCCACAGCACCAACACGCGGAGCAAGTAATGCGCAACCGACCATCCCACAATACCAACACGAAGGAGCTAGCGCTGCGCAATCGGTCACCCCACAGCGCCAACACCACAGAGCAAGCAGTGATCAACCGACCATTCCGCAGCTCTTATGTAACTAAGCAAGCAGTAACACATCTCGGTCTTTCCGTAGCACCGACGCCACAAACAGTACTTAGCTATGCACTTCCGCAGCGCCGACGTCTCAGAGGCACCTAAAAATCGACATTATACTTTTGTTTTATCCAACCGTAGAAAATATAAGTATATTGCTTTCCTTCTTTGTGTCATTATTGGGGAACGGTAAACCGATCTATAGGGAAAATAAATTTCTGTCTCGAACCCTGGCCACGGCGAGCTATACCGCATACCGAAACAGGGTCGTTACAATGGCGCCCGAGCAAATGAAAGACAATTGACAGTAACCTCGAATAAGAACACCAAATAGCGTTTACCCTCTTCCTCAACACAACAAAAAATATACACAATGGCAGACAATTTAACTCGAGGCTGGATAAGCAACACCAATAAAGCCCAACTGGAAGCCAATTTGATAGAATTCAAAATCAAGCCAGACGTACTGTGCGAGGATTTGCGGAGGCAGATTTCGGAGTTCATAAAGAACGCCAACCACAGCAAGGGAACTATCAAACGCTTTCCATTCTTCTTCTACCCTACCGAAAAAAAAACCATTTACGCGCGAACTCCGCAAAATCATGAGATTCACTACGCATACAGAAGAGAAAAAACTGGAGTGGGTCTACCGAAAAAACACAGCAGAAAACACAAGCGGAAACGCACTGGGTTCACAAGCAACCATCTGGAATTTACTGGAGACACGCGGACAAGATCGAACACGTACGATTTACTGCTGTAACCGGAATGAAACGACGGGAAACGACAGAGGCCCATGGGATTAGAACGGGCACCCAGGGCACACACCACTCCCGCAACGTAAATATCATTCAATAGCCGACGCTTGCTCGCACAAGTCAATATAGGCAACACAAGAGCTCGCGGTTCCATTGACACTGGAGCCACACGGAGTTTCATCTGCAGAGAACTAGCCAACAGAATATCCAGACACGGGAAAAAAAGCGAGTAACCGAAGCCAATAGACTAGCAGACGGAACAAACCCGACAATCACAGAGGTACTGGAAGTACCAATACAGCTTGGGAACCAAACAAGCACAACGACAATTCTAGTCCTCGACGAGGTAATCGGAGACCTGTTACTGGGAGAATAGTGTTTCTCCACATTAGAATGCGGAGGCATCATAGCAATAACCAAACAGAACAAAAGAAACCTACGCACGAATAAAAAGCACAAGAGACATGGATTCGCATCACTAGCAACAGGCGATTTAACAGAGGCATAGGTCCAAGAAACCCTCAAAAGGGAATTGGAGATGATGGGCCAAATCCAGGAAGTACGTGACATTGCCAACCTTAAAATCGTTATGAAGCATGACCGCCCAATCAAACAGATTCGAGATACCCTCGAAACCCGCCAATACTCAACCTGCTACGGGAGGCAAAATAAAAAAAAAAAATATATACATATATAGATCTATAAACTGGCTACTGGCAGATACCGATGGACGAAAATAGTAAACTGTACACCGCTTTTACCGTACCAGGACGCGCATCTTTCAATGCAAAGTATTGCCGTTTAGATAGAATACAGCCCCGCCCCTTTCCAAAGAGCCCTCTACTTAGTCATCGGATCAGAAATGGAACCATTCGCATTCGCATTCGCATACCTGGATAACATAGTGGTCATCGGACGAACGAAACGTGAACACCTGGAGAAACTGCAAGAAGTGATGAGACGATTTCGCAAGGCAAGCCGAAGGATCAACACGGAGAAATGCTACTTCTTCAATGAATGCTAAAATAGCTTGCTCACTTAGTCAACGCAAGAAGCACACACACCAATCCGGAAAAAATAGCCGCAATCCTCAACATGCCAAGCCCACAGACGACGAAGCAAGTTCGCAGCTTCCTGGGGGTAGCCTCATGGAACATGAGGTGCGTTTCTAACTTCACAGATCTGGCGCAACCGATATACAAGCTGGTCAAGAAGGGCACGAAGCTTAAATGGAACAAGGAGACAAAGGAGGCAACCAAAAACTTGAAGAAAGCTCTATCAGAAGCACCAGTCCTAAAGTGCCCTGACTTTGGCAAGACCTTTTTACTCCAGACGGACGCCAGTAACTGCGGATCAAGAGCAATTCTGACACAAGAGGCGAACACGTCATCTCATACAAAAACGGCATCCAGAAAATAAGGATGTACTGGAGGGATATCACTTCGTCGTCATCACAGACCAGCAAGCCAGATGGGCATTGGCAATGCAGACATACTCTTTAAAGGTACGCTACCGAAAAGGAAAGCTCAATGCCTGTTCAGAAGCATGGACAGATTACGCAGTAATGGAAAGAAAGCTATATAGACATCTACCGTCAAGGGCCGCGCACGAAGACTAGTAACCGTAGAAACTATGCGAGGCAAAGAACCAATGGAAACAGGTTGTGAGAGAAAACCACAGCGGTGCAACGGCATGTCATCTACGGATAATAACTAAGCACCAGATAATGGTGTCAAACTACTGGCAAGGAATGCGCAGGGATATACAGCGGTACGTACGGCGCTGCGAAACATGCTAACCTTAAAAGACTGCACAATAACAGGCGGCGGGAAAAATGCTGACATAAATTGCAAAGGCACATTGGGAAACCCTCTGCATAGACTTCGTTGGCCCACTACCAATATCTAGCCATGGCAACAACATGCTACTGGTGGTCTTCGACAATTTCTCGAAATGGGTGGAAATAGCAGCCGTCAGAAAGAAACGACGGAAATCGTGGTAAAGGTACTACGAGAGCAAATCCTAACACGGTATGGAGCACCGAAACTTTGTAACGACCTGATTTCTATGTTTTCTCGCTCGCTAAGTTAACGGGCGGCTAGCTCAGAGAGGTTATGGGTTCGTTCCACCAAATTTATATTGGGTGATTGGCTTTGACCAATGAATAACGCAAGAGTTCTGTTGGGATCGTAACTGTCTTTATTCGTCTCCTTGTACAAACCTCGCGGCTCTTCAGCTGCTGCTGCTGCTCCTCGTCGTCGTCCTCTGCGGCGTCGCTCCTCGTCGCTGTCCTTCGCGGCGTTGCTCCTCGTCGTCGACTGCTTGCCGGTATCTGCCTCGTGACGGCTCCTTCGAGACTCTGGATGTTATGCGAACCTCACTATCGATACCGGCAAGGTGTTTCGCCTAGCAGGTAGAACGCCGTTCTGCCTTTTCGCCTAGCCACCTTTATCGCAGGCTCCCTAAGTTGGTCCGGATTGTGTCGGCAAGGTGTATCGCCTAGCCGGTTGAACTCGGTTCGACCTCTTCGCCCAGCCACCTTTATCGCAGACTCCACGCAAGGACTCCCTGAGCTCGATTTAAGCACGACCTAGCACCCGTTGGATCTCAGCGTTGAAGCCTCAGCCTTGTACACTCTCAGTCGTTCGGCGTCTCGACTTTGCGATCTTGATCCTGGTACTCGGCACTTGATTAACTTGCTACTGGTCTCGCGTACACGCACTCGCTTTGATTCTCGCACTATTACTTTCCCTGTGCTGCGCTTGCACCGCCTTTTATAGCCTGTGATGGTCCCGTTATTTCCCTTTTCCAGCTCGCGTGATCGGGTCCAAGGTCCACTGCCGCACCGTTAGTTCACGGTGCGTCCTCTTTGTGCGGGTCCGAAGTCCGCCAATTTACCGTTCGACCATGTTGCCCTTGCCGTGTGAGGGTCCAATGTCCAGCGTGGTACCGTTAATTCACGGTGTCTCCGCTTTGCCCGGGTCCAAGGTCCGTTGTTTACCGTTTGACCTTGTTGCCCTACACTCCTCTGGCATTCTCACCTCCTTCGCTGTTGCTATGCAGCTCTCCTGCCTCGGAATTTGTGGGGAGTTTTAAGACTCCTCACATTTCCCCCTTTCTTCGGAAATGTTATGAAAGTGGTGATCTCCCCGCCCCTGTTGTTCGTTCATTCAAATTCCCCACCCAAACTCGTTCTCCTCGTAACCCTATACAGTTCCCTAAAAGACTTCAACTTTCCCTGAGCTGCCCTCCCCCCAGACAGCGCTCTGAAAGACCTTTAACTTTCCCATGGCTGTGCTGCGTTAGCCTGTTCCCCAGACAGTTCCCCGAAAGACTTGAACTTTCCCAAAACTGCATCTTGTTCCTTCGATAATTCCCCGCGTAGAATTTGAATTTTCCGCCCAGACATTTCCCCGTGTTTGACATCACCATTCCGATTCCCGTCGTCTGACCACACCTCGATCGCACTTATCGATAGTGGTTCCAGCATTGCCATCGTTTTTGCCGTTATCGTTTCCGTTGTCTTAAGTTGCCTCCGTGTGACCGTTTCTTGAGAAATCCAGTATTTTTGTACCCATAGATCGCAGCTATCGATCGACCGCCTATCGCCTGGCGCCCCCGTCCCTAATTTCCTCACGGCCTCGTTATTTTGAAAAAACTGGTAAGTAAACTTGCTGATGATAGTTTTCCTTTAATTAACGACTTTTTTCTTTACAGCGACACCATGACCATGATGCCCCTGACATGTCTCGGGGTGCTGACCCTGGACCGCGTGCCCCGGGAGACTTTTGCGGCGGCAAGTGAGCCCCCCTCGCCCTACGCCTGCCGCAGCCTCGTGTTTTCTGCCGGCCCGCGTGCTTGGCCCGCGATTCCCCCCTCACCGCCCCCGATCCGCGATCGGCTGCTGCGGCGGACCACTCTTTTTTTTTGTGTTGTGCTGTGTTGTGCTTCTCTGCCCAAATAATAACTGCTGGGCTTTACTGCTGGGATCTGTTTTATTGGGCCTTAAACACCCGCACCCGGCCCCCTGCTACCTTGACTCGGTAGCGCTATCCCTCCTCCAGCACGAGCTTGGCCCACCTGGCCTTCCTCTGCCTCCCTCGCTGTCTTTGCGCTTCTTCGGCCACCCGCGCCGGCCACTCCGCCTCCGGAACCTCCGCCCACGGTTCCGCGCCCTCCGACTGCTGTCTCCGCAGCGTCGACCTCGCCGGTGGGGCTCGCGACTCCGGGCACGAAGTCTGCCGCGCCAGCTTCGGGGGGTGGCGCCGTGTCCCGCGACGTCTCCGGCGGTGTTGGCCACTCCCATGGCCCCTTCTCCAGCCCCTCCTGGGCCTCGCGTTCCTTCTCGGTCGTCACCTCCAGCCCCGCGCGATCGGCCGTCTCCGCGACGCGTTTCGCCGACTTGGCCCTCGGATCGCGCGGGTTCAACGGCGGTGGGCGCCGCCACTCGATGGCTTCGATGGCCTCTCGCATCCTGGCCTCCTCTGTTGCCTCCTCGGGCGTGGGCCACGTCCACGTGACCGTCTGCTGATGCCACCGCCGCCCCTCCACCACGATGGTCCGCAGCGCTTGCGCGACCTGCGCTTGTGGCAGGTGCCACTCCTGCTGCCTCGGCGGCGACCATGGTGGTAGTGATGGTGAGTGTGGCAGCGGCTGCCCCTCCGGCGGCTGCGGCTGCCCCTGCGGCGGCTGTGGCAGCTCCTGTGGCGGCTGCGGCTGCCCCTGCGGCGGCTGCGGCTGCCCCTGCGGCGGCTCCCACAGTGCCGGACAGTGACCGCCCGCGCCTCCAATATACGAGCCCACTCATTGGGCTCGCCCGACGGTGGTATCTGCCCTAGGCAGATCCTCCCGAGCCCTGCCGTCGCCCTGCTCAACCGGCGGAAGATCATCCGGTCCCTCGCAGCTCGCCGCGCCACGTCGTCCTCGTCCGAGGACACCTCGGGACTGACGGTCTCCGTCCCCTCCTTCTCCTCCTCACTCGCGTCCTCTGGCCCACTCTCATCGGAAGAGATGGCGACGACCTCTGCGATCTCCGTCGCGTCTGCGCCTCGGTCCTCCTCCTCGGACGGCAGCTCCACGTCCGAGATCTCCCCGGTGGACTCCTCGTCAGCCTCGCTGACCGGTGACGGGGATCGCGACACCAGGGGGGACGCCAGAAGCTAGAGAACGGAATCGGAGTCCCGTCTCCACTTCGCCACTGGCTGTTCCCTGGCGCGCTCCTCCCTCACCTCGTGCTCCACTCGCTGTTGGGTGTTATTCTCACGTGCGCTCATGATGACGATCTTGTTTGGAAAGACCTGCACCATGCAGCGCCGTCGCTGACGAAACCTCGGTTCTTCCGCGTATCCTCGGTTCCGTTATTCGCGGAGACGTGTACCGGTAACGGGACTCGCTCTCCGCTCTGTGTCCGTGTAACGGTGCCCTCCGTGTACACGCCTCCTACGCAACCCGTGCATGTGTGTGTTTAGCCGGTAACGGTGCCTACGGCTTTTTAAACCCTCCCTGTCCCTCTCTCGCGCTCCTGATGTGTGTGCCTGTGTGTGTGTGCTTGACCGTTAATTTCGATACTGTTTATCGTCCTCCCCCTTTCTTCGGTTAGGGTACAGTGCTCCTCCGACACGCCGGATTTATTGAGACTGCCCCTCTTAGCTTTGGGGTTTTAACTGGCTTATGTGTGTTTTCCTTTCCTTGCCCGTGTGTTCGTGCCGCAGGTTGCAAATAACCGCAGAATCGAAATTAATTATTTTTTAACGGTCCCTCGTATCTGGGGGCCAGTTTCGCCGCGAATCCTTCTGCCGCCTTGGATAGATGGTGCTCCTTGGCCCATACCGTGTCTCCAATCTGTGGTTTCCAAGGGCGCCTCCGGAGATTGTAGTGGCGCGCCTGATCCTGCGCCGCCTTCTCCATGTTCCGTCTGACCAGCTCGAAGATTTCGTTCATTTTTTCGCATTCTCCGACGGGGTCTGGGTTTCCCTTCCTGTGCCGGTGGTTTCTTCATCAAACAACGCGCTCGGTAACCTGGGCTCTCTACCCTGCGTGACGAATGCCGGCGAATACCTGTGGACTCGGCTACGCTAGTGTTCACGGCCAGCTGCAATTCTGGCCATTTCTCATCCCACATTCTCTGGTCTTGTCCGGCAAACTGGGCGATCATTGTTTTTACAGTTCTATTGGCCCTCTCCGTGGGATTTTCTTGTGGTGTGTACGGGGCTGTGAACTGGTGCCGCACTCCCAACTCTGTCAGGAACCGCTTGAACGACCTGCTCGTGAACTGCACCCCGTTATCGGTGATTAAGACCTTCGGCACGCCGTACCGGCCCAACGAAATCGGCGCATTTTGTGGCCCAGGGCTCCTCTGGGATCTGTGTGAGCATTTTTCCGGCTGCCTGGAGCTGACTGGGCTTGTACCTGAGGCAACTCTCACAGTTCCACATGTGCTTCTTAATGTCGCGGTGCATGCCCGGCCAATAATACCTCGCTGCCACCCTCGCGATCGTCTTCCGGCTGCCCATGTGTCCGGCCATCGGCATATCGTGCTTTTCAACCATGACTCGCTGCCTTGACCCGATTGGTACGCATAGCTTCCATGCGACCACATCCTCGTTGCCTGCTCTGTGAGGAATGTGCCGGTACAGCCGGTCGGCCTCCACTAAAGAGTCCGGATATTTTTGGGGGTTCTGTGCTATCTTGACCCTTATGTCCCTTATCCAGCTACATTCGGCATGTTCTGCTGACTGACCAGGTGACTTCGTTTTCAACCTTCAGCAGGTTTCAGGTAAGGGCTGCCGCGACAGTGCGTCCGCCACAATATTCAGCTGGCCTTTCCTGTATGTGATTTCGAAGTCGTATTGCTGGAGCTCCAGTGCCCACCGCGCGATTCTTCCGGTTGGGCTCTCGATGCTATTCAACCACTTCAAGGCCATGTGATCTGTTATCACTTTGAAGTGGTATCACTCCAGGTATGGCTTTAATTTCCTTATGGCCCACACGATTGCTAAAAATTCCTTTTCAGTGGCGGAGAAACTTTTTCCGACCCGTTAAGGGTCCGGCTGGAATAGGATATCACCCGCTCACCCTGGTCGGAATTTTGAGTGAGAATGGCGTCCAGCCCATAATCGCTGGCGTCGGTCTGCAGCACAAACGGCTTTGTAAAATCCGGGCATGCCAAAATTGGGTCGGCGACCGATCTTGCCTTGAAAGTTTCAAAGGCCTGCTGGTGGTCCTCGGTCCATTCCCATTTGACACCCTTTCGGAGAAGGGCGTTCAGCGGATGCACTAGCGTGGCAAAATCTGGCACACAACGCCTGTACCACGACGCCACTACCAAGTACTGCCGTAGTTCTTTGACAGTTGCCGGTGGTTTTAGCAATGCTATCGCTGATACCTTTTCCGGATCCTGAAGAATATACACTTATCCGCGTTTACTTTCAGGTTTGCCGCTCGCAGTCTTCTGAATACTTCCTTTAGGTTCCGCATGTGCTCCTCTAGTGTCCGTCCGATGACGATTATATCATCCTGATACGCGAAAGCGTGCGGCATCATTTCAGGTCCAATTACCTGGTCCAACGCCCGCTGGAATGTTGCTGATGCCGAGTGTAAACCGAAAGGCATAACTTTCCATTGAAACAGGCCTTTCCCTGGCACTGTGAATGCGGTATACTGCCTGCTGGCTGCCTCCAACGGTATCTGCCAGTACCCGTCCTTTAAGTCGAGGCTGCTAATTTATTTAGCTTCTCGGAGTTAGTCCAGGATGTAGTTGATCATCGGCATTGGATATGCATCCTTCACGGATTTTACGTTGATCTGCCTGAAATCCACACAGAGCCTCCATTTCCCGGTCTTCTTTCTCGCCACGACTATTGGTGAGCTGTACGGACTCCTTGACGGTTCGATGCATCCCTTTTCAAGTAGCTCGTCTACTTTGGCGTTGATCTCTCCCTGCATTTTTGGATTCTTCGGATAGTATCGCTGTTTGACCGGCTGATCGTCCTTCATGGTGATCCTGTGTACAGCCACGTTTGACGTGCCTTGCAGATTTTCCAGGCTCTCCAACTCGGTCTTTAAAAACTGGTCCACATCCTTCTCCGAAAATTCCTTCGCGGCTTCCACGACTGCTACCGACAGTTTTTCCTCTAGCCAGCCTCGGTGTCTGTCCCTCGCCGGTATCATCACTCTGTGACCTGCGCATTTCACCTCGGCTCCGATTTTGGTGAGGAAGTTCCATCCTAGCACCAGTTCGTCAATCAATCCTGGGAGGATCAGCAGCTCCATTGACACTTTTCTTGTGCCAAGTCCGATTTGAATTTCTAACTGCGATTTTACGTCTCCGCATCTACCGTCCGCCATCCGTACTTGCCTCTTTGTGGGTCCAACCTTTCATGCCGCCTGCAGCCTGTCCGCCAGCTCTTTGCTGATGAAACTCGCTGTCGCGCCGGTATCCACCGTGGCCTTAACGTTCGCGTCACCTATGAGCACTGTGGCGGACAGTTGCATTTCTTCCGCCTTCAGGTCGCCCATTATTTTTGAGAGGCAGCACCTTACGATCCCTGCCGCCCCTCGGAGGCTGGGATCGTTGCGCGTTTCCCGAACAGCACTCCACCGTTCGGACGCCTATCTTTCCGCATCGCCAGCAGAATGTGAGTCGCCGGTTCCGGCACTCCTTTGTCCAATGGTCCGCGCCCCCGCATCTGCGACACGCGTTGGCCGGATTCTGTATAAATTCACTGCGATCGGCTGGTGGTCCGTGTTCCTGCGGCGTATGCCTCCGTGGCGCCTCCGTGTCCTCCTGGCACCGCCTACACACCGCACCCTGCTTTGCCCTTGGCTTTGGCACTGGGCGGTTATGTGTCCTCTGGGAGTGGTTTTCCATTTCAAACTTCTCCCGTTGCTCCTCCAGCTCCTCGAACTCGTCTGCCAGCGCCATCAGGGTGTCCAGGTGCCGACACTCGTACGGCCGGATAAACATTCGGAGGGCCGGCGTGCTGTTCTCCTTTATCCTGTTCAGGACTTCTTTGGCAGACATACCCAGAGGCCGCATCATCGTCTGCATGTCCACCATGTAATCTTTAAATTTTTCCCCGTATGTCTGCCTCCGCTGCCTGACCTGGTCCGCTAGCTTCTCCATGTAGCCTCGAGGAAGGAAATATCCTTGCAAGCTGAATATGAAGTCTCCCCAGTTGTCCCACTGCCGGTTGTTGGCTATGAACCACTTTAGGGCTCTGCCCTGCAGCACCTCCGGCATTGCTCGTGGGATCTGGTTTATATCCAGACCATATGACACGGCTGACCACTCTACCTGCTCCAGGAACTCGTTGCCGTCATACCGAAAGTTCCACTCTCGGACTTGCTTGGCCACCTTGGCGTAGTCCTGCGGATGTGGCCGTACGCTTTCTTTCCTCTCGCGGCTGCCTTCCCGCTGCCTGCCGTCGCTTGCCATGCTCTGAATATCCAGGCTTGCTATAAGGCCTTCGGCATCTGCGGCTGTTAGCTTGAATTTTGGGACCGGCAGCTTCCGGAATTTGACCTCCAGACCTGCCACTAACTCTGCCACGACCGGGTCTTCTGTTATGCGGTCAACCGTCTCTGCCAGGGTCTTCCTCATCGCCTCTACCGAGCCCTCAAGTTCTATTCCCAGAACATTGCTCACCTCGGCGAAGTCCTCCTTCCTGAGATTATAAATCCAGGACTTTCCCATCTTTGATCTTTTGTTCTCTTGGTCAGGGCAATAACTCATGGGCGCCAGATGTAACGACCTGATTTCTATGTATTCTCGCTCGCTACGTTAAAGGGCGGCTAGCTCAGAGAGGTTATGGGTTCGTTCAACCAAATTTATATTGGGTGATTGGCTTTGACCAATGAATAACGCAAGAGTTCTGTTGTGATCGTAACTGTCTTTATTCGTCTCCTTGTACAAGCCTCGCGGCTCTTCAGCTGCTGCTGCTCCTCGTCGTCGTCCTCTGCGGCGTCGCTCCTCGTCGCTGTCCTTCGCGGCGTCGCTCCTCGTCGTCGACTGCTTGCGGGTATCTGTCTCGTGACGGCTCCTTCGAGACTCTGGATGTTATGCGAACCTCACTATCGGGACCGGCAAGGTGTTTCGCCTAGCAGGTAGAACGCCGTTTTTTCTTTTCGCCTAGCCACCTTTATCGCAGGCTCCCTAAGTTGGTCCGGATTGTGTCGGCAAGGTGTATCGCCTAGCCGGTTGAACTCGGTTCGACCTCTTCGCCCAGCCACCTTTATCGCAGACTCCACGCAAGGACTCCCTGAGCTCAATTTAACCACGACCTAGCACCCGTTGGATCTCAGCGTT